TTGCACGTCTGTCTGTATGTGTGTCCGTGCCGACCCGTGGTCTGAGAACGCCGCCTGTGGGTGGAATTTGGCCCAGGGATGTGTTTGCTTTGGCTCTCACAGTATTTTCAACATCTTGAGCCAACATTTAAAAATCAGGATATTTCACATAAAAATTCAGCTTTCCAGTTTCTCTTAAAAATTCAGAAGCCCTGGCAGCCGCGGGCCCGCGCTCCCATGAGGCCACTCTCCCGCGGAGCCGCTCGGGGGCTGCCCCGCCGCCCGGCTCGCTCCCCAGCGCCTCGGGGACGGCGGGGTGTGTGTGACCCAGGGTGTGCCGGTGAGTGTGTGTGTGTCGGCGTGGCCTGAGTCCGCACGGGGGTGAGGCGTCTGTGGGGACCTATGCGAGTGCGAATGCTTGTGTGCGCCCGGCGTGTGCGTGGCTGCGTCCGTGACCACGTGGAGTGCGTGGGCCCCTGCGGCCTGGCACGCCCCGCACAGGGGCCTCTTCCGGCCTTCGAGGGGGGATCGGGTTCCCGGCTTCTGGCCGGGCTGCCTTGTGGGATTTATTTCTGTCTCGGTGCCCACAGGAGGCCTGAGTAATGGGAACGTTGAAAGAAAACCAGTAACTACGCAGAGAAGGGGCAGGCTGGCTGGGAAACTAGGCCCAACACCCCTGCCCAGCCCGCGGCCAGAGGCCTCAGGCCCCGAGGCCAGGCCTGAGCCGCAGAGGGAAGCGGCCGGAAGGCCCGGCACGCACACCCTCGCCACCCCAGGGGTCGCCCGCTTCTGTCCGCCCAGGCCTGTTCGGTGGGTGAGCGCCTCCGCCTGGACGGCCCCCAGGTCAGAAACAGGCATCTCGGGGCCCACACGTGCGCAGGCCTGGCCCACGAGCTAAGAGGGCCAGACCCTCCAGGCGGCCGCCTCCCCAGCCAGGCCACCGTGGGTGCACGTCCCGGACCACTCTGTCCACACACGCCTCACGCCCGTGTCCACGGGGGAGGACAGACGAGGCTGCCTGGGACCTGGCAGGGCCGGTGCTGTCCCCAGGCTTGGGAGGGCACCCAGACACCCCGCCAGGAGCGCCTGGTGCCCGAGGAAGGCCAGCGTGGGGTACGGCGGGGGGGGGGCTGCCGGTGCTGCCGCCCCCAGGGCCTGGCCCCCACTGTGCTGTGTGCTGTGCCTGGGCTCACGGAGTCCCACTCTTGGGATCAGCTCCGACACCAGCCACTCACATGACACGGGCCCCGTGGGAAAGGACGGGGGAACTTTCTCCGGCGGGTGATGTGCGTCGCACACGCCTCGCTTCAGCCGAGGGAAAGGCAGGCTGCGCTGACCCACACCTGCCTTCAGGGGCCCCGGGTCCGTGTCTCCTGCTGCCCCCCAGTGGCCGTGTGAGGGCAGCGGGGAACTACAGGCTGCACGGGGGTTCTGGTCCAGGCGGGCGGGCTGCGGGCACCCGCTGGGCCCCCTCGCGGGGCGGGGGGAGGGGGGCGCCCAGACCCCCACTACACGCTGTGCCACTGTAAGGCCCAGCCAGAAGGTTCTGGGGCGAGGTCTTCAGACGGGCCTGAGGGGGCGTCTTGGCTCCCCACGCAGATCCTGAGACCACCTGGAAGACCTGCTCACTCCCAGGGGCAGGGGTCATCGTCAGAGTCCCGGCTGCACCACAGCCCCTGGCACAGCGCCCACACAAGGCGGGCACTCGGGAAGCCGGGCGAATGCATGCCAGGGTCCCCAGCCGCTGCAGGGCGGGCAGTGCTGTGGCGGGCCCCGGACGCGGCGGCCCAGAAGCCCCTGGAGAGGCCACCCGGAAGGTGCGCGGGCATCGCTCACACCGGAACCTAGCAGGCGGCGAGCAGCAGGCAGCACCGGGCCCCAACAGGGGACTCGGCCGGGAAGATGTCTGGCGCCCGAGGGTGGACAGGCAGAGAGTGCAGGGGAGTAGATGTGCCCAGACTGGCCACCCCCACACGCCCGATACGCAGCCCGCTGGGCCGGACCCAGTTTTTCAGAGACTGTAGGGGCTGTGCCTCAGTCCAGCCCCAAGTCCGCCAGCCCTCGCTGTGGCGCCAGCCCTGCAGCCCTCTGGGTGCCCCCCTCTCGCCCAGAGCACCAAGCCTGCGCCGCTGGGCCGGCAGGCCCTGTCCGCACACCCTCTGCTGGGGAAGGGGCAGCCACACCGTGGCAGAACACGCCAGGCCTGACCCTCCCCCGAGATGACCCAGAGGCCAGACGCCTTCGAGGATTTCAAGCGGGAGGGACCTGGATGGAGTGTGGGAAGGCCGGGGCTGTCCTGGAGAGCTGCTGGGGCTCGCTGGGGAGCACTGGGCGCCCTAGGGCTCCACCCACAGAGCTGGGCGCCACCCCTCCCCGGCCTGCCTCCCCAGCCCTGGGACCGAGGGGCTGCGAGGGTCAGGGGGTCGTCCATCTGTCCCTCTAGCCAAGGCCAGGACTCACTGTGACCAATCAAAACTACCCCAATCCAATCTTCCGCAAGATCTCAGAAAGCTTGTCGTGTTTTTGAACACAGAAAGCATACTTAAAAGAAAAAAAATTACATTTTAGCCCTGGCTGTTGTGGCTCAGTGGATTGAGCGCCAGCCTGAGAACCGAAGGGCCGCTGGTTTGATTCCCAGTCAGGGCACATGCCGGGGTTATGGGCCAGGTCCCAAGTAGGGGGCGCATGTGAGAGGCAACCACACACTGACGTTTCTCTCCCTTTCTCCTTCCCTTCCCCTCTCTAAAAATAAATAAAATCGTTAAATATGAGATTCCATGGGGTGCTGTTCTAAGCTCAAAAAAAGAAACTGCCAACCTTATTTCCCCGAGTAACTACCCTTCAGTCTCAGCAACAATGTATGAGATTCCCAGCTCCTCCGGGTCCTCACCAGCACTTACCGTTTAAGCTGCTCTGGTGGGTGTGTAATTATCACCGTGGTTCTAGTTTGCATTTCCCTAATAGCTGCTGATGCTGAGTATCCTTCATGTGTCTGCCATGCACATCCTCTTTGATAAAATTACCTTCACATCTTTTGCTTATTTTCTAATTGAAGTTTCTTTTTCCTGTTGAGTTTTGAGAATATAATTCCTTGTTATGTTCTAGTTAGGAGTCCTTCATCAGATACGGCATTTGCAAATCTTTTCTCAGTCTGTAGCTTTTCTCTTCCTTCTCTGAAGACTATCAGGGCACAAGCTTTTCATTTTGGCCAAGTCAGATTTCTCCACTTATTTTTAAGGACTCTTTACCAGGCTCTGGGCGCTGTGGGTTTTCTAGAAGTTGTCAGCTGCACAGCTGACACTTAAATCTATGACCCACTTCAGGTTTTGTCTCAGGTCTGAGGTTCGGTGGGGGTTCCCTTCTCGGCCACTCCGGCACCATTGGCCGAGGACTCCGCTTCCCCCCCACCCAGCTCACCTGCACCTCTGTCAACAATCAGCGGGCCTCACCTGTGAGTGGCTCCCTTGGACTCCCCCCCCCCACCCCGTTCTCTTCCACTGGTCATGGTGCCTCTCTTTCCACCAACACTACCACCTTGATTCCTGTAGCTTCCTAAGTCTTGAGATGGTTGACGAGTCCTCCTCCTTTATTCTGGTTCAAATTTAAGATATGCTAGTTCTTTGGCTTTTCCTGATACATTTTAGAGTAACTTTGTGTATACATAAAGATCTTACTGGGATTTTGAGACGAAATACATGAAGTCCGTATATTAATTCTCCAGTAAAATCACTGGGCTTGGAGATTTCTTTTCTAGGGGGCTTTCAATGATGAGTTCGGCATCTTTAACAGTTACAGAGGGATGCAAATTTCACCCTGGGTGTACCGGGGCAGTCTGTGCTTTTCAAGCAATCAGTCAGCCTCATCACCTTGTCCCATTCACGTGGACAGCTCCTTGGGACATCCCCTTACTATCCTCTTGTCGGTAGTGACAGCCTCATTTCACTCCTGCTCTTTGTACCTTTTTTAAGCCCTGGTCTGGCTGGAGGTCAACCAGCATGATTTTGGCAATATTCACCTGGTTCCTTCGCTCACGGCTGCCTCCCGCCTCCCACGGCTGCACTGCCGGCTGCCTTCCCAGGATCCCCTCTGCTCTTCCTCCCTCACGGAGACTCCATCTGGACCACGGAGGCCCCGTGTCCCGGGGCATCTGCAGCCAGCGGCAGATCTGACTCGGGAATGGCCGACTGCGTGCGACGGCCAGCCTGGGGCCTGGGCGGGAAGCCGCGGGCTCTTCTGCCGGCTGTCCTCTGCCCTTGCCCCTCCTACCCACAGCTCACACCGTGGGGTGCGAAGGCTCCTAGGGGAGCGCAGGAGGGCAGCCTGGGAGACCCTGCACCGCTGGGGGCCTCGAGGAGCCACCGTACCCCTCAGACTGGACCCAAGTCCAGGAAACCCTCCTCGTTTAGGAGCCTGTTTGAGCGTCGGCAGACCACAGCCCTGCTTCCCACACCCTCCCCCTACACACACCCCCGCCCCCCGCCTTGCTGCAGAGCATCTCGGCAGGCCCCTCAGCGAGGACCGGAGCGCAGTCAGCAGCACGAGCCGTGCCAGTGTCCTCGAGGCCCGTGTTAGGACCGTCACGACCGAACAACAGAGCGGTGCTTGTGTCCTCCGCACTTGGGGGAAAGGTATCTCCTGCTTCCTTTCCCCTGTGAATGCAAAGCGAAACTCATTCATTCGTAGGTAAACTTTCTTCCCCCATGGAGCCTACACAATTTTTTTTTAATGTTCCAACTAGACTATTTCCAACCACGTGCCACAAGAATTTTAAAAACATGCAGCACCTGACTATTGGGGGGCACTGGCCTCTCTTCCCTTAGATGGTCAAATGAAAGAATGACCACACCCAAGGCAACAATGGCCGTCTGGGGTGAACGAATCAAAATTATACTTTTTTTTTTGGTCACAGAAGCTGAGTGGTTTGTGTGTGCCACGAGGTGACAAAGGCTGAAAATCACTGACCTACACCACTCCAGTGAGACTGCAGATACGGCCTTTTAAAAACACGCCACTGCACTTAGTTTAGGTTGTAAGTGCTGGAAATTTACTGTTTGAGCTGTGGGAAGCACAGCCTATGTACAGAAGGAAAAGTGTGTGAAATGAACGCATGGAGAGTGAGGTGGACCCCCATCACTGGAGCCAAGAAAAGGCCCGCCGGCAGCCCTGCAGGCCCCCCCCACTCCGCCCCAGAGCCACCGCACGCCCGACGTGGACGCCATCACCCCGCTTTCCTGCCGACGCCTCCATCGGGGCGCGTCTGTCCTCGGAGAGCCCACCGTCCTCCTCTGCCTGCTTCGGGGCATCGCACGAGCGGCTCACACTCTGTTTCTCTGTGACTTGCTTCTCTCGAGGTCTGTCCACTACACTGCACATGGGTCTGGCTCATCTCACGGCCACAGAGCATGACGCCAACAGCTGACTGACGACCACGCCTGTGCTGTGTGTGTGTGTGTGTGGTTCTGTAAGGCAGTGGGTTTCCTCACGTGTCTGTAACTTCTGTTTGCACACACTGTCCCTCCCCACGCTGTCCCACAGGATCCGGCAGGCCCAGCCCTGGGCACGTCTTACGAGAACTCTCTCCGACGCTGTGTCTGCCACTCAAGGGTTCCGAGATGATCACCAGTGACCCAAGCCTGGGCCCGGCGGGTCGGCCTCCGCATGCCCGGCCCCGATCAGGGCTTACTCGTTTGAGCATCACCCCACAGCACCCCGTCCGGGGGCCCGAACCCACGGCGCCCCGAGGACCCAGGAAACATCCGGCAGGTTTCTGCCACACACAGGGGTCTGCTGGCTTCTTTTTCCAGAACTAAAAAATAAAGTTCACGACACGTGATACATATTCACAGACAGCGCAGGCCCGTGGAACCGCTGCCGCCCCCTCAGGTGGTGGCTCTGCCCCCACTCAGGTGGTGGTGGCTCTGCCCCCACTCAGGTGGTGGGGACCCCTCGGCAGGCGAGGAGCGGACCGCACCCCAGGTGGGGTGGGTTTGGACTGACGGCGCCCAGAGCCGCACTCCACGGGCGAGCAGGAAGAAGAGACGGCAAGCTCAGCCCCGCCCGGTCCAAGAGCGTCCTCCTCCAGGGCGGGACAGGTGGGCGGGCGCGGGGGCAGGGCAGGCCTCAGTCGGAGTCGCAGGCCTCCTGCCCGGTGCTGGCCTCCACCGCAGAGGCCAGGCTGTCCTCCTGGCCTTTCAGCCTCTCACCTGGAGGGACGGCAGACAGCAGGGGTGGGTGGGGGGCCTGGGCCCGGGCTGCCACCCAGAGGGCCGGGACCCGCAAGGCCAGGCCAGGCCCGGCCCTGCACTTACGGATCAGCTCGGCGATGGCCCTCTGGGTCCGCTTCTCCAGTTTCTCCAGCTTCTTGGCAACGTCTCTCTTGAGGTCCCTACAGCAGGGAGGTGGCAGGAGGCCAGAGGCTGAGGCCCGCCCGGCCTGCGGCCCCTCGGGCACTAGGAACCACAGGGCTGTCTGAAGGGACAAGCTGTCCTGGGAGGGAGGCCAGGCTGCCTCTCTCTTCGTTCTGCACCCCCCAACCCGGCCCCCGTGAGGCCGGGACGAGCCCCGCAGACCCGCCCCATACAGGGGACCGAGTCCAGGTGTGCGAGCGTGGATGGTTTCTCGGGGGACCCCAGACACTGGCAGGGCATGGCCTGCCCGGCCCACTGCGGGCCTGCTCCCCCTCCAGCCACGGGTCGCTTGCCCACCAGGAGCTCCCCGACGTGCACACGCAGCCCGGCCTCCCAGCCCCGGGTTCCTAGGACACGGCCCCGAGCTTCCGTTCATCAAATCCGGACAGACTCACAGACAGAGGCACAGGGGCCCTACCTCTGGTCTGAGGCAAGGCCCAGGCCACAGGGCCCTCGCTCGCCCCTTCCCCAGCCCAGCCTCAGGGGCACTGGGGGAGGCCGAGCGCCCTCGGTTCAAAGGGGAAGCCGCGGTCTCGAGGGGCACGTGCAGGGCAGAAACCACCACTGCCCGACCCCGCGGCCCCTGGGGGCAAAGGTCGGCCTGCTCAGAGACGGGCAGGCCCTCCCCTTTCCTGAGGGCACCGCTGCCCCCACCCCCTCCCTGTCGCTCTCCCTTTCTGTCCTCCTCAGCACTCACTCCAGACAGCAGTGACCCGTGCGGCTGTGTGCCTCTGCTGCCGCCTCCCCGCTGCGGGGCGGGCAGGCCCGGCCCCAGGAGCACCCCACCACCGGCCCCACACAGCAACACTCACCAGTCAGGCTTCCGGGGTGCAAGGTTAGCCAGGTCCTGGGGGGGAGGGGACAGGTGTCGGTGAGAGGGGCCAGCCCCGAAGGAAGTCAGAAGACGGGGGCAGAGGTAGGGAAACGGGAGAAAGGGCAGGAGGCAGGAAGGGAGAGGGAACGCAGGGAGGTGGAAAGGGGAAAAGGACGTGGTGAGAAGGGCGGGAGGGGAGGGCAGGCCGGGAGGGAGAAGGGAGGGGCCACGGGAGGGAGGGAGCGGCGAGAGCGAGAGCGCCGCCAGGCACTCACCACTTCCTCGATGATGGGCTCCGGCTTGGCGGCCTCCAGCTGCTCCTTCACCTTCTCTTCCACTAGAGGGGGCGAGACAACCACGGAGGCCTGCTGGAGAGGCCCTGTCGCTCTCCCTGGGGCCTCTGCACACAGCAGCCACAGCAGGGAGGAAGGGGGTGCAGGCAGGCCCCCGGGAGACCCTGGGCTCTCCCCTCGTTCCCCAGCCGGCAGCAGGCCGCCAGCTGACTAGCCAGGGCCCAGACTCCCCAGCCCCGCAGCGGTGAGACGGTGATACGGTGAGATGAGACCTGCCTGGGTGCGTCCAAAGCGTGGTCCTGCGCAGGGCCTGGGGGACGGGCGCTGCCCACCACTGCCAGGGCACCCGGGCTCTGAGGGCGTCCTCGGGGCCCAAGACTGGCCGGGGCACAGCCACGTGGAGGCAGCCTGCCCTCAGGCCTGTCCCAGCCGCTGGCAGTACCGGTGGCAGCGGGAGGGCTGCCCCTGCAGGTACAGACCCTGGGAGCGCCAACGCCGAACCGGGTCTCCACGGCCCCTCCGGCCACGTCATCGCAGCCCACGCTCCCTCAGGGCCCCCTGGCCCTGCCTGGACCCCTGCAGCCCCGTGCTGACCCTGAGGCACAGTGCCCCTGCATCCACCCCGGTGGGGCCCCAAACGCCGGGGACAGGCACGGGAATTTCAGGGGCAAAGGAGATGAGGAAGCCGACCAGGGGGAGGCTGAATGGGCAACACTTCGCTGTTTTGCGATACAACTGTATCCGTGCACTTGTTCCTCACAGAATTAAAAACTGACAGCAGAGACAAAGAGGGGAAAGAGCCAGGGCTCTGAGGGATGAGAAGCGCCCCAGCATCTCCGAGAGGCCGCCCCTGGCCAGAGGGTCCTGGCGGCTGTGCTGCTCCCCACACTGCACGGACCCCCCACCCCCACCCGGGTCTGTGCGCTCTGGCACTGCCTCACCCCCACCCGGCAGGCGGCTGCCTGCCCACTGCTCTCTGAGCACCCAAACAACCCCTCGCTGGGGTCTCAGTCTGACCTGACAAGGGCCCCCGAGCCACTGCTACTTCTCAGCCCAGCGGGTCCCTCCGAGATGCGGCCTCTCCCCACCCGGCCCCTGGAGGCCTCCCGTCAGGCTGGGAGCCGCGCGGGGCAGCCACGACCCGCAGGCCTCTTTCTCAGCGCCCTGACTGCCTCCCGGTCACCCGGCACTGACTGCTTGCGCATCCGCCAGGAGACGGTGACAGAGGGCCCCCCAGGCCCAACGTCCAGCTGGGCACTGCCAGTCAGTTACTGTCCGAGAGAGGGTGAACCCTCGCACGGTGAGGCAGTTGACAGTGGCCACAGAGAAGAGGCGCAGAGGTTCCGCCGACCCACCTGCAACCGGCTTGGCCTGGGGCACCCTCCTCTTCTTCAGGGCCTCGTCCTCGGGGACGTAGTTCCGCAGCCGGAGCTCCCTGCGGACGCAGAGGACAAGCAGAGATGGAGCAAACATGTGGCACGGTCTTGGTCACCCGGCACATCCGAGGGTCACCTTGCGCAGGGTGGCTGGGGATGCCCCTGCTCAGTGAGGTGGGACAGAGCCACGGGGTCAGACCATCGAGGCCCTGGGGGCGGCAGCAGGGGCCCCCCACCGGCCAGGCCAGCCAGGTGAGATGGCAACGTGGGCCCTCCTCCCTCCCCACCACCTCTCCGGAGCCCTTCCGAGGGCAGGACTGCTGCCCCTCAGGAGTGCCGGGCCTCCAGGACAGGGGACGCCTTCCCCCCACGTCTCGTCCACCAAACCCTCTCTCTGCAGATGCCGGGCCACCAGAGGGCTGCTGCTTCTCCAGGGGGAGGCGGCAGGTGCCTGCGACCTCACAGCCACCAAGTGGCAGCCATCTGGACTTGGGGACTTCCCGATGTCAAGTTCAGGCCCCTGCTCACCAGCACCACCTGCCCCTTCCCCTTTGCCAGGGCCCCTGAGGCCACAGCCCTGAGGCCAGGCTGAACCTCTGTGCCCTGGGGTGGGGGGCACCCGCCTGGCCTGCAGAGGAGGCCTGCCGCCCCCTCTCAGGAGCAAGGACACCCATCCCGTGCCCCGGCCACCCACGCCTGCTCAGGCCCCAGGTCAACATCAGGCCACGGTGGGGCGTGATCTGCACCCAGACCTTCCTCAGGGTGGGGCGAAAAGCAGAAGGGAAACTGGGTGTGGGAAACTGCAGGGACGGGCGAGGGAGACGAACTGTCACTCTCAAACCGGCTCCGGGGTTCTGTGAGAACTCGGGATGGGAGGAGCCTCGACGGGAACTGCCCCCAGGACCATGAGCGACAGGTACCCACGCCCCAGCCCGCCCTGGGAGGGCACAGCACAGGGGCACAGGGAGACCCAGGCGCAGCTGGAGAGCCAGCCAGCAGCCAGCCAGCAGCCCCAGCAGCCCCGGGCTCACGGTCCCCTGCTCCCCACAGAGCTGAGCCCTGGTCAAGTGATCGGGAACACCGGGTCCCAGTCACCGTGGGTGGGCCTGTCCCATTCCGGGCCTCAGTTCCCACCTGTGTGTGGGTGTCAGGTCCGTCCGGCCCCGTCCAAGGCCTCCCCAGACTCACTCTGAGGGAGCCGAAGAAGAGACAGCCTCTCACCATCGCCCCCACTAACTCCGCCCACCCCGCGCCCAGCTCTGCGGAACGCCAAGGGGCATGTCTTCTGGGAAACGGCCTCTCCAAGGCAGGAGCATGGGGCCCCTCCGCCCTCCGCAAACGATTTAAACAAACCTGCCGGCAGAGCGGGGCGGGCGACAGCAGGTTCAGGGTTGTGAGCACGCCGAACACAGAGTTCACTCTTGCACTGCCACTCACTTACTGACTACTGTATCGTTTGTTTTTCTCTTATTATCGTTATAATTTCCTGCCCTTACTTGTGACTTATCCTTCAGGTAAGGATGGCTGGTGACCTAAGCCGGCGGCCCCCAACCTTTCCGGCACCAGGGGCCAGTTTCGCGGAAGACGCGGCGGGGGCTCCACTCACCCGCCGGCTGCCCGCCTCCTGCGGTGTGGGCCACTCCTAACAAGCCACAGGCCTCGGGGCCCGACTGAACCAAGGAGCACTGAGGGTGGATACTGAACCCCACTTTGGCCCACCTCTGTGTATTTTTCAAAAACCTACTTGCTGGCCCTGGAGAAGCACCACGGCAACAAGGATCCGAGGGGCGGCGTCACAGACAGAAGTCCGAGGCCGGCCTGACAGTGGACGACTCTCCCCCCTTACAGCCTCTGCTGACAAGCAGGGCCCCCAAAACACTGTGGCGCCGACGCGACAGAAGTCTGCTGGGGCAGCTGAGGAGCAGGGCCCCGGCCAACCCCCCGGTGTTCTGCGACACCAACCCCACCCCGTCCTAGCACAGGCCAAACACCACTTGGTGTCAGCGGCCGCCTCAACCGGAGGGGGCGGGTCAGGGCACCCCCAGCCCAGCTGCCGGCCAGAGGCTGCAATAAATTCTCTCTAGAGGAAACCAATGGTCCGGGACCTCCAGTTACCTCTAGAACCTCGCACGCCCAATATCCAGGGTTCGATCAAAGCCATGAGGAAAAACAAAGAACAGAAATGCACTCCTGGGAGACCCAGATGTTGCAATGATCAGAAACGAAAGGCAAAATAACTGGAATTAATGCCAGCTCAGGAAGGTAAACCACGAGATGGAGAACCTCCGCAGAGAACCTGAAACTGTAAAAATCAGACGGGACTGCTGCTGTGAGTGAGTGAACACAGGACCAACATGAGAGCTCAGCACGTGGGTTTAACAGCAGCCGGGACACAGAGGACGAGGGGACGAGGGGACCGGCGAACTGCCCCGCGGGCCGGGCCAGAGGAACGCCCAGACGGACGGGGGCGCGGGGGAAGACCAGTCGGGAGACACAGGCAAGGGCAGCAGACACGCGTGTGGCAAGACGAAGGGACCCAGCACGCGTGTAACTGGAGTCCCAGGGACAGAAGTCAAAGACACAACGACGGGGAACCTTTCTGTAAAGCCCACGAAAACCGTCCCGCCACAGGGTACAGCGGCACTGCAAACCCCCAGGAACGGCACACGCCTGGGCAGGTCGCCGTCTGGCCACCGAGCACAGAGACGGGGAGACTCGGACAGCGGACCGACTCCGCGCAGCCAGGCAGGAGCTGAGACAGACAGCTGGCTTCGCCACGGAAACGACGGAACCGTAAGTCTAGCTAAAAGGCCTTCGGTGGAAGACTTTCCAGATGCGGAAAGGTGGGAAAAAGGAACCGTCAGCGGGCCTGTTCTTCAAGAGCCACTGCAGGGAGCGCTCAGAGTCCGAAGGGGTGACCTCAGAGGGACGCCCAGTGGGCAGGACCCTGCCCCCTTTGCACCCAAGGCCCCGACCACCACGCGGGCAGCCGCTGCCTGAGGTGGGCCTGGCCGTCTCTCCCACAGACAGCAGCCACGGCAGCCACCTGGACACCTGCACTCCCTCTCCCTCGGATCCAGGGTCCCCAGTGTCCCCAAAGCAAGTCTGAACTCCTTAAGCCAGTCCTGGTATCACCCGTCACCAGTCCCCACAGCCTGCTTTCCGATCAAACGTGCCCCTGGGTCGCTGCCAGCCTTATCTGCACCCATCCTCCTGCCCTTCGCACGCCAAGAGCTAATCCAACCAGCTGTCACTGTGAGCCGCCCCCGCCCCCCAGGCACAGCTGACCGCTCCTCAGGGGCTGGGGGAGAGCTGGGGGAGGTGCTCCCGGCAGTCACAGACCTGGGGAAGTCAAGCCCAGGACGGGCCTGCAGGCTCAGGAGACCAGCTCAGGCCCGAGATGCCCGCCACTCTTGAGCTTCTGGTTTGGGCAGTCAGAGCAGACGTGGAAGCTCCTCCAGGAGCCCCCCGCCACCCCACCAGTGACCTGTGAGCTTTGGGCTCCACACACGGAGACACCCCTGTGTTCCCAACGTAAGCCATGAGGCCCTACTGGGCGCTGCCGGAGGCTCACACTGGAGGCCTGGGAGAATGAGGTGAGGCAACAGCCCCAGTGGGACCCACAGTGGCTCCCGAGTCCGACCCAGTCCTTCCTTCAAGACGCGTTAAAACGTTCGAACCTTTCTGAGGAGCCCAGTGCCCTCCCCACCCAAGACTATAGTTTCTATGGTCACTGCCCTGGACAGCCACTGGCTGTTCAGAGAAACGCTAACAAAACCCCAAATGCCCCTCGTACAAATGCCCCTGGTGGCACAGTGTGCAGCAGGCCCGGGCAGAGCCTCGGGCTCTGCGGCAGAGCACCCGAGGGCAGTACGGCCGAGGCCAGGCCGGGCGGGCACAGCACAGCCAGGACGGCGCAGCCACACCGCCTGGCTGCGCGGCAAGAACGCCTCCTCCCGGGTCCGGGACAAGGTGGGACGGGACACTGGAGACAGGCAGGCGACGGGGCCTTTCTGTGTGTCTGCTGGTCACTCAACGCTCTGACTCAGGACACCTGATAGCTGGCCTAACAGCCAAGGGACTTCTGAGGAGCCCAGTGCCCTCCCCGCCCGAGCACGTGACACTGTCCCCTAGCCGTCCCCCGGGAGGCGGCTCTGGCCTCACTCCGGGACAGGGGGCAGATACAGGGCAACAGAGGCCCCCTCCTATGCAGCCAGCCCCACCTCCACGCCGCCAGCCACCCCAGGCCTCCCGTCCTCACGCACGGGAAGAATGTGGGCTGGCCGGAGGACTCGGCACAAGGACTGACCACGTGCCGGACAGGGCCAGGCCACACGGCCGACCAACACCTCCTCGGCCGGCTCAGGGAAAGGGGTGGGGCTGCCCTGCCTCCGGCCCCGACTCGGGCCCCACCTGCAGGTGCAGGCAGCACCCAGTGGGAGAGCGCTTCCTGCCCAGCGGGGGTTGCCCCTTGGACGGCCCTTCAGTGCGAGGTGGTGCAGGCAACCCGCCTTTCCCAGCGGGGAGCCAGGCTTCGCAGGAAGGGCTGCGGCAGCCCTGAAGGGCATGACACATGCGCCCAAGGCCGGATTCCAGGCAGAGCGGCCCGCCGCCGCCCCACACGGGGAAGCGCCTGGCCCATCACACGGCGAGTCTGCTTCCCACTGCTTCCCATGACGCACCTCCCCACAGCCAGCGCCCTCCACTCCCCCACCCACGGTCGGGGCCCATTCCTGAGCAGCGGGATCAGGAAAAACAGGGCGACTGCGGGTGTCCACACTGCCGCGTCAGCACACACCCGGAGCTGGAGCCGCGCCGGAGCAGTCAGCTCAGCGGGGAGGGGTGGGATCCTGGAGTGGGCGCCCTTCCCTAGTCGAGCCGATGTCACGGGTCTGCAAGCACGCCCTGCCACCGACACCATCCTGGGCACCCAACCCGCCGCGGGGAGGAGGCCTGGCCTTCGCCCGCCCAGAGGGCTCGGGCACCGGGCCAGGGCCGGCCGGGACCACTCTCCGCAGGCAGTCGGGGAACCGGTTTTCCGCCCCAAAGAAGGCAGGCTAGCGGCCCCCTGTCTTCTGCGGAACATGACGCCCACCCCAGGGCGGATCACTGTTCCAGGGCGAATGGGGACCGCTCCAGCTGGGGGCAGGCGTGGACTCAAAGCCAGAGGGCGGCGGCTGCTGTGGGGGCTGAAGGTTTGGGGCTCGCTTGTTCAGGAACTTAACAAGACACGCTCCCCTGCCCTGTGCCCGCCAGAGTGTGCGGCACCCCTCTCCCCCCACCTGGCAGGGTGGCCGCGAGGGGCGACCACAAACCTACCCAGACACGCCTCCCAGGCACCCGGCCGCGGACCTGCCTGCCCTGCCCTGAGCGAGGAGGAAGTGACTGAGAGCTTCAGAGACACAAGCAGCTGACACCAGTGCCCCTGGCCGAGGCTGGCTTTCCAGGGCCCCAGACCACACTTGACTTAAAGGAGCCACAGGCCTGTGCTGGAGATGAGTCTGGGCACCCCCGCCGTCAGCCACCAGGGGGCAGGCAGACCCGGCCCAGCAGGGCCCCTCTGGGTGGGAACCCAGCTTCCCTTCCCACAGAGCTCTGCCTGGGCTGGCGGACCAGCAGGGGCCGACTCCCACCCGACGGGGATTTGGTTGTATGAGCATGGGAAAAGATTTATCACAAGAGAGCATAAAAACTTTAAAAACGGAATTTCAACCTAGAGAATTCAGGCAATTCCAAAAAAAATCCTAGCATGCTTTTAAAAGACATGAACAAGCTCATTCTACAGTTTATGAGGAAAGGCGAAGGGGCTGCAACAGCCCGGATTCTGAGCTCTCCTCGGGCGGATGGGCGGGGGCACAGGCGGAGAGGCGGGTGGGTGACGCCCCGCACACCTGCGGAGGGGTGCGGTCCCAGGACGCCTGCCTCTGACCCCGCGGGAGTCCCGAGTCCTCAGCCACCAACAGAGGAACACGTCTGGACAGACAGCGGAACCGGGCAGCTGATGCCCCTCACCTGCCACTTGCTGGAGGAGGCCACCTACTGCACCACGCGAGGGAAGCTCCCCAGCAGGGTCACGCTGTGTAAGTCTATACTCTCCTCCACCCGCCCTGCCGTTCACCCGGCTGCTGCCCCGGCTGCAAAGTCGGCGTGGGCCTTCTGCAGACGCTGGCCCTGCCTTTCCCAGGGGTGCCTGCAGGCCCGGCCGCTCTCTCAGGAACGCCCCCGAACCCGAAGCCCCAGCCCCAGCTGGGCACCCAGCGACGGCGTCGCTCCATCCCCCGGGGAAGAAGGTTTAGGTTCGCTCTTCTCCCTGTCTCTCGGCTGAAGACACTCTGGCGAGGGGGCGACGCGCCGCCCCGCCCCACCGCTCGGTCTCGGAGAGGCCGGACTGGGGAGACGCCGACGAGCAGGACAGGCCAGAGCAGACAGAACCCACCTCGGTGTCCAGCACGTCCGGTCCCTGCGCTGCTGGGAGCACAGGAACAGGCTGGGCGTGGGGCCTGGGGGGCTCGGCACGGTACTTCACGGGAGGGGGGGGGGGCGGGGCCAGCCCCATCCCCGGAGCCGGCAGGAGCGGGACCCCTTCCCCGGGGCTCAGTGACAGACGCCGGACACTGCGTCGCCCCTCCGCTCGCTCTTTCGGTTTTTACTGCAAAGTGTCTCGGGCGCACAGAACAGTTCAGAGAGCAATGCACGCACCTGCTCCCCAGGGCCCAGGACAGCAGCGCTTTCCCGTCTTGGACAGGTCTGTCCTCCTGTTCGCTGCCCCCTCCCTCCCTCCCCCACCCCCGCGCCCAGCACACGCCTCGGTGGGCTGAAGCCGTTTCCCAACCCCGCTTCTGTTTCCTCCCCGCAGCCCCTGCAGCTCCTGCTGGCTGGGAGCCCCCCCGCCCCCCCCGCCCCCCCGCCCCCCCCACCACCACCCGCCGGGCCTGGCGACACTCCTGCTGCTTCCACCCCACAGCCCCGACCTCTCACCACACGCTCGCTCGCTCGCCCGCCTGCCGGGTGAGCAGCCCTCCAGCTCCCCCGAGGGCACGTCAGCGCCTCGCGGGCGGGACTGGGTTTGTCCCCTGTCGCCCCCCCGGGGCCCAGCATGGTGCCCTGGACAAACCAGAAACCAGGCCGGTTCCCGTCGGCTGTGCGTCTGAACCCGAGTGATGTTCTTGCCCCGCACGTCGGGGCTCGCCGCTGCTGTGAAGCTGGGAAGGCGCCATTCCTCTGAGATGGGCCCTGAACAGGGCAGAGAGGAGGGGCCTGCGCCCAGTGCCGGCCCAGCTCCCCCAGGGAGCAGCCCCCCCACCCCTGCTGCGGCACCCCCTCAGCCAACAGCCCACAGAGGTCGGCTTTCTCAGGGCCAAGGTCTCACCCCCGCCCCCGCCCCCCACAAGTCAGCAGGAGCTGTGCGGGCCCTGTGCCCGAAGGCAACGGCTCAGGGCAAAGGACGCCGGGCCACCCGTCCGTGCAGACACGGAGTCCGGCCCCAAGCAGAGCGCCACGGCTACCCCGTGGCCAAGGCTCCCGGCTGGGCGCGGCGGTGCCGGCAGACACGAAGCTCCTTCCCGGAGCATGAGCACCGACCACGGAGCGCCCCTCCCGCCCCACACACGGCTTCTGAAACGTGTCCCGGGCATTTCTGATGCACGCACGGCAGCCTCTGTCTGTCGGCAAGGTTCCAGCCCTCACGGGCCTGCACGCTCGGGGGGCGGGGGGAGGGTGCGGGGTGCAGCACTGGCCCCGCAACCGAAGCTGACTCAGCCGGATGACGGGGTTTGGTGGAACGAGACACACACTCCGCAGAGACCCCTGTGGGGACGGGAAGATGGGCAAGGGAGAGGAGCGGGGGCCCGAGCTGGGCTCTACAGGGAGGCCGGCGTGTCCGGGGACAGGAGGACAGGAGTGCCAGGCCGGGACAGCCCAGAGCGGCGCTGTCGGGACAGGCTGCGCCCAACTCTGCAGGCACCGCTGAGCCCAGCCGCCGCGGGCTGCAGGGAGAGAGGAGACGGGACGGAGGGCGAGGACAGAAGGCTGGTGGCCGAGAGTCGGGAGGCTGGTGGGGAAAGGGGGCAGAGAAGGCCCCAGCCAGCGAGGAGGGCGGTACTTTCAGGTTCAAACGGGGCAGCCGGGGGCGGGGAGGAAGGAACGGGGACGCTGAAGGCAGAGGGGGGAGGACGTGAGAGCCACGGCGGTGGCAGCTGCAGGACCGTGCAGGGCGGGGGCTGCGTGTGGGCCTTACCTGTGCTTCTCGCCCTCCTCCACCTCCTCCTCTTCTCGGAGCTGCTTGGTCTTGGGCTCCCCATCTTCCTTGTCCTGCAAAGGAAGGAGGAGAACCGCCCGCTCAGGTTATCACCCCTCTTTCCAGCCCACGCTGCCCGGCCGCTCGGGAGGCCAAAGAGCGGCGAACGGGCAGAGCACAGACCCGGGGCCGGGAAGCGGGTCAGGGCTCCCCCCACAGAGGCCCCGACCCAGGCGCCCTCCCCAACCACGTGCCAGCAGAGGAGCGCGCATGCCGGGAATCGGCACGTTCAAATGAAAAGCTGCTTGCCGAGCCCTGGCTGGCGTAGCTCAGTGGATTGAGCGCAGGCTGCAAACCAAAGTGTCGCAGGTTCGATTCCCAGTCAGGGCACATGTCTGGGTTGCAGGCCACGGCCCCCAGCAACTGCACATTGATGTTTCTCTCTCTCTCTCTCCCTCCCTTCCCTCTCTAAAAATAATAAAATCTAAAAAAGAAAGTTGCTTGCCAACTGCCAGCCGGCAGACTCCACGGTGGCCAGAGGGACCTGCCACCCAGGGATGGCAGGAAGGGGTGATGGACGCCTCCCCCTGGTGAGTAAGGACGGAGATGAAAGAGGAAAAAAAGCTCGGCTGTCCCCCAGAGCGGGCAGGTGCGCAACCCCCCCCCCCCCCCCGCAGGAAGGCCCCTCTGCACGCGACCGCGCCAGCTGGCGGGAGGGGGCGGGGCCTGCGGAAACAGCCTTTGGGACGCACCGGACCATGCGCGAGTGCCACGCCCCTGCCCGGCCCCGGAGCGAGGGCCAACTCGGCGGCCACGGCTGCCGCCACCTGAAACCCAGAGACACTCGAGTGCCTCGGCAAAGGCCAGGTTATTCATTAACAGGCCGAGAAAACACCCGACTCCCTCAGGAACGTTGAAGAACAGCCGGCATCCGGGGGTGGGGCGCAGCACGAGCTCTGCGACCGGGGGAGGTCGGGGGACCCCGGCCTGGGTGCCGGGCACAGAGACCCCAGGCCTCCTGCGGAGCGGCGACGCCGACGGGACAGCGCGTGCGCGTCCACGAGGAGCAGGGGTCGCCGCAGCGCCACCACCTCCAGGCCCCTCGACTCCACGGGGGACCTGGCACGTGGCCGCAGGAAAAGGGGAGGGTCTGCCCCACGGTCACAGAGCCTGTCGGTGGGGGCTTAGGTCTGCACGCGAGGCCTCCTCACGCCCCGCCCCCGCCCTGCACTCTCGCCCGGAAGAGGGACAGTGCATCGGCGCGGCGATGGCTTCTGGGAGCTGCTCCGACCCTGGCCGCCTCTCACAGCTGCCTGTGTGCGCGCAGGCCCGGCGGACGCCCACGGGGTGGGGGGGCACTGGCCAGGCCCGAGGACCACAGAGCCCCGGGGCATCCAGAGACACCCCACCCACCCGAGACCCTTAAGTCTGACTACCTGCCTGCCTCCCCCTACACACCCCCCTCGAGAATCTGCCTGCCCCTCCCCTTCCTTCTCAGTCCTGCTCTCCAGTACGGCCCCCTCCTCTTCATCACCTCCACAGGTCCCCACCGCCCCCGCCCCCACCCCGCCCAGCCCGCCGGCCACCCCTCCACGTGGAGAACAGAGCCGCCTGTGGCACCTTCCTCCGCTTCCTAATCCGTGTCCTCCAAGCCCCTCTCCACCCTAACCCTCCACCACTGGCGACCCACCCTCCGCCCACGGCTCTCGGCTCTCGGCGGCTCCCCAGGACAACCCCCAGGCCCCACCACTCACCCTGCAGGCCCTTCACACCGGCCCCTTGGTCTCAAATCCCGAAATGTCCATTCTGATGACACCAAAGAAAACCCGCCCTTCACCCAGTTCTGGAGGCGAGCTCACAGGCGCCCTCCTCACGGCGCCTTCTGAGGTTCCCTGGTGTCGGGGCACAAACCTGTGGCCGTTTCTCTTCGTACCCAGGCCTCACTACCCCGTCCTCAGGTCCCTCACAGTATGGGGATCCCCCCGGCTCCGCTCCCGGCCCAGCCCAGGCCTGGACTAGACAGCCTCCAGCCCTTTGCCGAGGTAACGAGAACTCTCCACCAACTCCAGACGGCCCGACTCCCAGGAACACTGGTGGCCTGGACCAGCCCCCCCGCCCCCGCCCCGCGAGCCCTGCCGCCCGTTCCTGACCCAGCCCAGGGTCCACACCGAGGCCTTGCCCCCGCCCGCCCCTCCCGCACAGCCTGCAGGAGGAAGGGGCCCCCGGGGCAGGACTTCGGGGGCCCCCAGCCCCAGACAGAGCCCGCCCGCCTCACCCGTGTCAGTGTCTGAAACCCCTCTGCCAGGAAGGAAGCCTTCGCAAACAAAACTGGGGTGTCAGGGCTGGCGCTGCTCCTCTTTGAGCGTGTGACACCTCGGTGAGGCCGCCCCGGCCTGGAGTTCTCTCGGTTTTAGACGCAGGGCTCCAGACCGTGCACTCCAGCGCCGCCTGGCCACGCACGTGCAGGGCGGCCGACCTGCCCTGCAGTGCCCCGCGGTGCCCCCAGCTGGGCCTCTTGGGGAAGTCCCCGCTCTCCCCGCGAGGAGGCCCAGCTGAGACCACCTCTGCGCACGTCGCTCTTTGCCTGGGGGGGGGGGGCGGCAGGAGGAGGTGCAGCGCCCCCTGCTCCCACCCCTCCTCCGCATTTCTGGTGGCGGATGCAGCTGCCAGCGGCAGGCCCACATTCAGGCAGGACGGAGGCCCCGCTGTCCGCCCCCCCCCCACCCGGAGGCAGGTGTGAGAAGCCCTTTCACCGAGGAGTAGACACATCGGTGAAACACCACGTCTAGACACGGCCTAACATGATGAACCTCCAGAGGGTCTAACGGAGAGGAAAGACATGTGTCTTCCCCTTCAGTCGGTATCAGAGGGATGGAGCCACCACCACCGCACTCTGGCTCGGCCACCAGACACGCGGGGGAGCAGGGGGGCCGCACCTCCTCCCGCCACCCTCCCCCCCCAGGCCAAGGCGAGGGCCCCTCCTCCCCCAAAGCCCCCGTCTCCTCCATGTGCCGGGTCTGCCCGGGACCCACAGATGAAAGAGACAAGAACCCCTGACCTCAAGGATCTCGGGAGGGCACCAAGGAGCAAACTCAGACCACGCGACTCGGCCGGGAGAGCTGAGAACAGCTTCCTTACGTGCCTTGTATGCCCGGGGAACTGGCGAGAGCAGGCGCTGGCTGTCGGGGAAGAAGGGACCCCTGAATTCTGATCGTCCAGCGGGAGGCCACCAAGGGCCGTGGGAGGGCAGAACGCCCTGGCAGGCCCGGGACGGCCGGAGTCGGGGCAGAGGGGCCTCCCTCCAGCGCACGGCGGGCTCAGCCCGGCACTGGCCGGTGCTCCGAAGGGCCTCTGGCGGCCTCGAAGGCCAGTCGTGGACGGACACAAGGAGGCCAAGACCAGGTGAGATGCTCCACTGGCAGCCAGCCCAGAGCCGGCCCAGCTGCTGCGTGCGTGTGCGTGTGCGTGTGCTCGGGGGAGGGCGGCCGAGCTGCAGGAGGCCTGGGCACTGCCTTCCGGGCAGCCGTGCCGAAGCCCGGGCCCTCCCGGCAGACGAGGAGGCGGGAACAGGTTCACGGGGGCAGCTCCTGCATCTCACCCAGGCTTCGCTCGCCATTGGCCCCTGACGCTGGGGGCCGGACGGGAAGCGCAGGTGCAGAGACAACTTCCAGGGCCCAGGCAAGCAGCCTCAGAAGCCCGCGCAGCGGTCCGCGCCAGGGCTGTCCGTGGGGACAAGGCCCCAGCCCTGGCGCCCTCGGAACAGGCGGAACTGGCCCCGGGCTGGCTGAGCCTTTCCCGTTCTGACCTGGGCCCAGGGCGGGCAAGAGTCAGAGACAGATGGGACCGAGGGGTGAGGGGGTGGGCGGGAAGGGACTGAACACTGACAGTTTCACCCTGTTGCCGCGCCCAGAGCCAGGGCAGCCTCGTCACCCGGCGTCTGGCCCACCAGGGAGTCGCAGTGGGAAGACCTGCACTGAACTGCACAGCTCCCCGCCGCGGGCCGTGGGGCCCTGGCACACAGCCACAACGACTGGGCCCGTGTGCCCCCGTGTGCCCCCGGCAGCCGGAGCGCGCCCGGAGCACGGATGCTCGTCTGGCCCACCCGTGCCCAGGGGCCTCCCACTGCCTCCAGGGGGCGGCACACAGTGGGGCCCGTGGGCTCTGGGCCACAGCTCCACCAGCCAGCTGGCTCCGCTCTGCTGTGCTGTGCGGCCCGGGTGCCCGTCTGTGGGCCCGGGGACCGTCTGTGGGCCCGGGGACTGTCGGGCTGACGTCACTCACAAGAACGAGAGGACCGGGGGGCCAGGAGAGAAGCCCGCCGCTCGGGCGGGGAAGGCAGCGGCCCCGGAGGGCAGGGAGGGCAGGCCTGCCGGCAGAGGAGCCTCGGCTCAGCGGGACTGTGGGCGTCGGCAAAGGTCACGCTGGGCTTTCACTTTCGCCCTGCCCACCTGGTGCTCCCTGCAGCCCCAGGACAGACGGGCGGTGTCGGGACGTCAGAAGACACCGGGCGACCCGTGCCAAGGGGCAGACCCGGCCGCCCACTCCCTGCTCCTGCTTCCCCGAGACTGAGACCGGACCCGGTGCTGGGTGCGGGCGTCCCCTGAGGGCTCAGGGCACGGGGAGCGCCGGTGCCGGGAGCCACCCGGAGGCCAGGCCCTGGGCCCGGTGAGGAGGCTGGAGATGAGACTGCAGATACGAGCGGGAACTAGGTCAGTGGCGGCGGGCAGAACAAGGGGTGACTGACGGCTGAGGGACAGGGAGGAGTCGGAGACGATGGAGGTTGTGCCCATGATTCACTGGGAGAACGAAGGCGCCCAGGACAAAAGCGGTGGCGGCACTGGGGACAAAAAGACAGGGCGGGGCAGCGTTCAGGCAGACCAGGGCTGTGGCCTGGCCCTGGGGCCTGACGGAGGCCGGGTGTCCCGGCAGCGCACAGAGGGCCCACTTCTCGGCACCCCAGGCCCATCACAGGCCCGGCCCAGGCACCTGCCGCCGTCCTGCTGGTGGTGGGGAGGGTGGGGAGCCGACCCCACGCCAAGCCCGGGCCTATGCTTTTGCCACAAGTGCAACCGGG